AGCATCCGCGTGGACCCTCTGACACAGGCACAGGGAGCCCCCGCCTCTCCGTGTCACACAGCTGAGTTCACGGGAGCCCATTCGCAGCTCAGATCTGTCTCTCACACTTCAAACGCATTTCTCCTCTGGAGATTCTTAGTGTTGTTGTCTGAGGCCCCAATAGATATGAACTATAGTAAAAATCGTGAGTGATGGACACTCGTGTTGTTTTAATATGTAGAGAGTTTGCGTTTTAACCTGTCCGCTGGGCCACAAAGAGCAAAGAAACCGTGTCCCACTAACACTTTTTTTCCCCAGATGGGATGATCTCACTATTAGGAAATAATACATGTTCTCGTTACAAGGGTTATATTATAAACGTAATAATATAAACATCATTATATTTAATCAATATAAACCCTTCTATTTCATAGTAATCGTTATTATCCATCCTGTGTAATAGCCGCAAAATACAAAACCATTAAAAGATTTTTCCTTTTTATTTGCTTTCATATTTACTCAAAGCCTTGCAGTGAGTGCGCTCAGCCATTACAGGGCCGACGTGGGGCCTGGGAAGAAACCAGCTGCAGGGGGAGGCGAGGCCTGGGGCCGCAGAGGCCGCCTGGAGAATAGGCTGCTTTTTTTCTGCTCTATCAAATGCGCTGCCACCCCGGGAACGAACTTAACCTTTTTTCCTCCCGCGGGGGAACAAGCAACAGAACCGCCCCATCTCACGTTCCCACCAGCAAATTTCTGGTCCACTTCAATGCCCACCTGTGGGAACGTTTGAGCCCTTTCTTCTCCCAGCTGGAAGAGAGAAAACACCAAAGGTGTCACCTGCACTATGCTTTTATTTTATTTTATTTTATTTTATTTTATTTTATCTCATTTATTATTTTATTTATTTATTTTTGGGGCGGGGGGCGAGGCAACCCTTGGTTGACCTCGCAGATTGCACAGACCTTGTCAGCTTACAAGCCCTTATTTTTTTATTTTTTACGCCTACAGCACCTGGTCTTCCTAGGTGGTCTCCCATCCAAGTACTAACCAGGCCCGACCCTGCTTAGCTTCCGAGATCAGGCCAGATCGGGCTTGTTCAGGGTGGCATGGCCGTGGACTTGTGCTTTTTTTTTAATGGCCAAGACCAGCCAGGGGTTCCGGCACTCCCACTTTGCTGGAGTTGGGTCTCTCATTTTCAGATCCCATTGGTAACTCGTCCCGCTCACCACAGGCAGCAGCCCAGATGCTGGTTTTGACCACGCGTGCCACGGGAGCCAGCCAGACCAAACGCCGGTCGCAGCGCACCCCTTTGTCCCTCCTTTTCCCGAACAGTGCTCAGGCCATATTCCGCGAGGCAGGGTCGCAAAGCCCACTTCTTGCTCTACCTGTGCCTTGTAATGGGCAGCTCCAGATCGTGGCTGCAAAGAGCGCCCGTCTCCAGCCGCCTCAGGTTGTGGGTGAGGGTGTCTCTGGTCGCACAGGGTTGCCAGGTGTCTGCCTTCGCGAACAGCAGACGCCTGACCGACACGAATCGTTCCTACCCTGTGAGGTCGAAGCGGTTCTGTGCATCCCTGTGCATCACACAGGCGAGGAGTCCGTGCCCTGGGAAGGTCACGAAAGCGCCTGCCGCCCCCAACCGAGAGTGACATGGCCACGGGTCTGCACGCTCTTAGAATAAGCAGGGCATGGGCCTCGAGGAGGACTGTCATATTCACAGGCTTAGAAGTGAGAATCACCAGTTTGATAACAAATGGGCGAACGACTTCCCATCGGACCTGTGTGCTGTGCGAACAGCGGGCCCAGGGTCTGTGTGTACCTGTGACAGGAAGCCACAGACAAGGACCTGCAAGGTGCCAGCACAGTCCGACTTCCAGGCTTTGCCCCCGGCTCCATGTGACTCCCCGGTGCCACCATCCTTATCCACCTCTATTGACGTGGGGGGGGGGTGACCTTTCTTGAGCAGAACCGATGTGATCTTTTAGGAGTCGGTGACCTTCCAGGATGTGGCCGTGGGCTTCTCCCCGGAGGAGTGGGCTTTGCTGGATCATTCTCAGAGGAAGCTCTACCGAGAGGTGATGCTGGAGACCCGCCGGAACCTGGCCTCCGTGGGTAAGGCCTGCGTCACTCAGTCACACTTATTTAGCATCGCCTGTGTGCCAAGAGCTATGCCAGGAAGTGGGAGTTTCTTGATGGATAAGGAAGCCACAGTTCTGCCCACGTGGGGTTCCCAGTCTGCTGGTTTCTCCAATACAACGAAGAAGCTGATTTCTTCGGCACAGTAAGTCCTCACTTAACGTCATCGATAGGTTCTCGAACTATGGGAAAACGACACACAGCAAAACCTGTCTCATCACAGGCTGATGGATAGAAACAAGAGTTAAGTTCCTGCAGCATCTCCTCAACGTCATAACGGAAAGACGTTGGACGAAATGGTGTCCGCGAGGACCTGCCGTTTGAGAGAGCGGGAGCCGCTGCTGACGTACATGTCTTAGCTTAGGCGTAGGGAACGTCCCTGATTCCTCTTGGGTACAGAGTCAGGCGTTTGTACTTCTGCCCAGGCAAACAGCTAAATTAAGTATATTGTGTGTGCGTGGCACAAAATATACGACATAAAATTTGCCTGAACCATTTTTAAGTGCACAGTTCGGTGGCCTTCCGTACATTCACGTCATGCAACCATTCCCACCAGAACTTTCCATTTCCAGAACTTTCTCATTTTCCCAAACTGGAACTCTGTCCCCATGAAACACTCACTCCCCTCCCTCACCCCAGCCCCTGTCACCACCGTCTACTTCCTGTTTCTATGACTCTGACTCCTCCAGGGCCCTCTTATGAGTGGAATCACACAGTATTTGTCCTTTCGTGTCTGACTCATGACACTGAGCATGCTCGACTGCCACGCGCCAGCAGTGCCAGAATGTCCTTTCTATGGCAGAATGACATTCCTTCGTGTGGGACCTCATCGTGTTCTTCTAGCCATCTGTTGGTGGGCGCTTGGGTCGCTTCTACCTTTTGAGGCCCGTGAGCCCTGCAGCTGTGGACACAGTGTGCAAACACCTCTTCCAGTCCCTGCTTTTGATCCTTTTGGGTCTATACCCGGGAGCGGAATTGCTGAGTCATATAGTGACTTTCTAGCTTTTTGAGGAAACTCCAGACTATTTTCCACAGAAGCTGCCCCATCTCACGTTCCCACCGGCAAATTACGAGGGTTCCAATTTCTCCACATCCTTTCCAATACTTATTTTCTGTATTTTTTTTTCTCGTTTAAAAAGTCGTAGCCATCCTCCTAGGTGTGAGATGGTGTCTCATTGTGCTTTTCCCTCGTGACTAGTGATGGTGCACATCTTTTCATGAGCATGTTGGCCACTCATTTGTTTTTTGGGGGGAAACGTAAGATCCACCAATTTTTAATTAGGAAAATAAAATCTTTAGCTTGGTCGGTGTGCTCTTGTCCTTTCAGAAGCCTCGAAGGACCAACGTCCTGATACAGTTATCGAGGATGGTACATCTTCTCCAGCACAAAGCTCTCGAGACAGCAGCCTTTCCCTGTGGACAGGGTGTTCACTCTTTCAGCCAGCGGTGTCTTTCCACCTGGAGCAGGGAGCAGCCATGATGATGAGAGCGAAAGGAATTCCCCAAGCCTCCTGTCCAGGTGAGAACCAGGCAGATGTGAGCCATTGGGGTGGGGCAGCATCTTGGGGACAAAGTCAAAGATCTCTCCACAGAGGCCCTAATCGTATAAGGAGCAGGCCCAGGTCCTTGGTGGCACCTTCTCGGATGCCTTCAGTTCATCCTCCGGAAGCCTTCTCCTACCTGTCTTTGGGTGCAGAGAAGAAAGATGCTTCCCATATCCTTGAAGCCATTGTACCTGTGTTTCTCGTTATATCTTTCCTTCCTCCTTTCTTGATAATTCTCTCTCTGCCATTCTTATTCTTCCTTCTTCAAAGAGCAGTTCCTTCTACATTTACATTTCTCTGCTTTTCTTCGTCGTCAAATTTTTTACTCTGCGTCCTTTCCTCAGCGCACCGGCTTACCGATCCGTCTCATTTTCTCATCCTCCATGTTCAAACTCGGTAATTGAACATGAATCCACATGTGCCTTTTATCCGTGTGAAGTACTTCTGTCCCACCGTTCTTAAGTTAGAAATTTTATTCGTTTCTTTTCCTCCCTCAATTTATTTCAGATCGGGAGACTAGACTGGAAATCCAAGGGTCAGTTTACAAGGAGGTGGTTTTGGAGGAAGAACCACTTGGTGGTACCAAGCTTCCCAGAGAAGACTGGGGACGTGGGCAACGTAAAGAGAAACATGAAGATTCCCAGAGGCTTTTGAGTCAGATGGCGTACCTCCAAGGAAAGGCATTTGCTCACGAGAAGGCTACTGCCTGGCATGAATTTGGGAAAAACTGTATTCCGAGCTCAGGCCTTGTTTCCTCGCAGGGAAATTGTGCTATGGGAAAACACTTCTATGACTGTGACCTAGATGTTGAGAGTTTGGTCGCTAATCCATTCTTAAACCACCGTCAGGTGGGACATATAGACCAGAGACCCAGGGAAAGCAGCGAATGTGCAGAAGACCTCAGCCAAAATAGTTCCCTAATTCAAAGCAGAATAACTCAATCTTCTGCATATGCAGACAGCGGGAGGTCGTTTAATCGCAACATGGCTCTTATGATACACAACAAAATTGACACATTGGAGAAACCCTATGAATGTCCCCAGTGTGGGAAAGTGTTTAACCGGAGGCATTCCCTGAGCGAGCATCGGAGAACTCACACAGGAGACAGGCCATACGAATGCAGGGACTGTGGGAGGGCCTTCACTCACAGCTCAACCCTCACTCGGCATCTGAGAACTCATACTGGGGAAAAGCCCTACGCATGTGGAGAGTGTGGGAAAGCCTTCAACAGGATTTCGTCTCTTACCCAACATCAGAGGATTCACACAGGGGAAAAGCCCTATAAATGCAAAGACTGTGGGAAATCCTTCTGCCAGAGCTCTTACCTGATCCTGCACCAGCGAACACATACTGGCGAGAAGCCCTATGAATGCGACGAGTGTGGGAAGGCCTTCAGCGACCGCTCGTCACTTAACCAGCACGAGCGAACTCACACTGGCGAGAACCCCTATGAATGTGATCGGTGTGGACGAGCCTTCAGCCAGAGGTCCTCCCTGGTTAGGCACGAGAGAACGCACACTGGGGAGAAACCGTACGGCTGTCGCGAGTGTGGGAAAGCCTTCAGCCAGACTTCCTCCCTCATCGCACACCAGAAAACTCACACTGGTCCAAAAACCTATAAAATCGTTGACTGTGGGAAAGCTTTCTATCAGAGCAGCCACTTCATTGCATTTTAGAGCTTGCTTGCTGTCCTGGCAAGTACTCTCAGCACTCTACCAAATAAGAGTGGTTAGACAGTGCTCCGCTGACATCCTACTTGAAGCAGGTTTATGCCACATTCTTGAAGAAAGCACTGAAGCGCAGATCTGAGAAGGGGCCTTTTAATGGGGCAAGTTGTCCAGTGAGCTCCAGCCTCTTAGAAAAGATGGGTAGATGGGACCACTGACATCGAATGGGATTTTGCTAAGAGTGATCTCCTTAATTGAGTTGTCGAATCAAAAGATATTCTTTCAACGTTTTGTTTCAGGTGTCAGTATTTTCTTTTCGATCATCTATCTCAATATTTTACTTAGAGCGTGCTCAGTTTTTCAGTCTCGATCGCTCCTTTCCCTGTAACAAGTATTTACAGGGAACCTGGACTGTCTGTGGTGCCATGTGGCTGTGGACAAGACAGACATATATGCTAGTGTTGAGGAAACAGCATGGCTTCATGGACATGTGATCTGTGTGGTCACCAAGACTCTGCTCTCCGAAAGGTCCTGTCATTGTTTTAATACTCTGCTGTATCCGTTTCAATATTATTAATAATTTTGAACAAACGGTCTCCCCTATATTTTCATTTTGCAGCAAGCTTTGCACGTTATGTAGCCAGACCCATGATGGAGTGAGGGGCAGGGACAGATGTTAAACAAGTAACCAAATACTTTAAATCTTTACCAATTTTGGTAGATCCTTTGGAGCACAGCAACGGGATGCTAGTGTAAGAGATAGAGAGGCACCAACATAAGATAGGGCCTTTCCGAGGGTCTAAATTTAAGTTGAGATGCGAGTCATTGGAGCACTTGAGATGAAGAATTTCACCAGAGGAGAGCTTCACTTTAGCTCTGTTTTTACATGTGGTTTCATGAGTATCCAAAGAAATATTTACCACTTTGTTTTGATTTCTCTGACTCAAAAGTATTTTGAGAGAGAATATATTTTTCAAACTTCCGGGTGTTTAAATATCCATTCCCTGCTCCATGGAAAACAAATTGTTTTTCTCCTTACACTGGCTCGCTCCTCCCATACTGTGTTGGATGAGAGCGTTGAGAATAGATTTTCTTGATTCGTTCCTGGTCTTAGGGCAGCATTCGATCGTTCGCCACAGAGTGTGACGTTAACTGTATTATCTTCACATATGCCTTTCATCCTTACTCTTTCATTAAATTTCTGTCTTTGTTACACTGTGGTCTGAGAACATGTCTACTCTGTGAGTCTTTGAAATTTATGGAGGTTTACTATGTGATTGAGTTTTAGAAGCATTTCCTGGATCTTGAGAAGCAGTTGCATTCTCTGCTTTTATGGTTAGGGATCTGGCTTGTCTGGTACTTCAATCTTATTAATCAGTGGCTCTCAGATTTCATGTCAGGAGGTTCAGATTTAATAAGCAAGAGCTGGAGTCCAGTAATATGCATTTTTAACACACACACCAGGTGATTTCACCAATGCTCCTTCTAGTTTAATGACAAAGTGAGAAACATCGCTTGCCTTTACTTGTCCTTGGGTTGCTGATTCAAAGATAATTAGCTCAAGAGAATTAAGTTATGGTTTCCTATTGCTATTGTGTTTAATTTTCCTCAGTATTTTCTGTTATTTTACTTCTTTTTTTGTTATTTTTATTTTTTTTTTAAATTTTGTTTTGTTTTTGTTTTATTTGGGGTAAATGATTTATGATAGGTCTTCATTATGAATTACACACTTTATCATTTTGAAGTGATCTCTTTGCTTTAATTAATAGCTCCGACTCTGCTTTTCAAACAAAATCTGTTTATTTTTGGTATAATTTTTCACCTCCTTTGAATTTCAACTTCTTAAATCCAATGTATTTCTGATTTTTAACACATAGATGAATTTCATTTAGGATCCTTTTCTTTTTAATAGATACATTTATGCCAATTATTGCTGCAATAAATATTGGCTTTAATTCTGATAACATACTTGATACCATTTTTCTTACTTTTGAAGTTTCTTTCCTTATTTTTTACTCTATCGTCTGTATTGAGGGAGTGTATTTCTTTTCTGATAATTTGGAGTGCCTATTTCCTGCTTTTAATTATTCTTTTACATTAAAAAATTTCAATTGCAGTTGACATTCAATATTATTTTATATCAATTTCAAGTGTACAGCATAGTAGTTAGACATATGATTTATGAAGTGGTCCTCTCGATTAGCCTTGTACTCACCTGGCACCATACAGTTGTTACAATTATGTTGACTACATTCCTTATGCTGTACTTCCTGCTTTAATTTCTTTTGGCATTTTTTAAAATTACATTAAACATTATATTAAACTATTGTGACATCAACATTGAGCAGGTTTTGAAGGATGAAAGAGTCAAAGTACAGAGTATGTATAGGATAACGACGTATTTATGAACTCTGAATATAGGGACAATAATGTTCTATATGGTTTATGGTTCCATATGTATGGCATGGCAATAATAAACTTCAGATTTGTGGTTGTGGTGGCCGCTGGGAGGAGGTGGAGGGGCCTAGGTTCCCAGAGGTGATACACAGACCATTTCAACTCTGTAATGTTTTCATTCTTTCAAGACATCTGACAGAGTATGGTGAACTGATAGGCTTTACTAGAGCTTAGCAGTAGATAGACAAATATTCGAAATGTTACTCCCGCGTCGGTGGGATAATGGTGAACATAGCTGCCTTCCAAAATGTTATTCCCTGTACATTTTGTATGATTGAAATGTTTCATAATAGTTTAAAAGTGCCCCCCACCTTTGCTCCGTTGTGGTGACCGTTAGTATATGCCTTCATGAGGAATGCAAAAATCAACTCTCCTAGTGTTTTGCAAATGGATACTTTTGGTTTGGGACAAAATTTTTAGTCATACATCATCATCTAAAAAGTGCTCTGTTTCAGGCACAAAGATGCAAAGATTTTATTCCCTGGAAAACCATCAGATTGCTCCGAGACCCACTGCAGTAGGAGCAGTTGTGTTGAAGGAGCACATGGAACGTTCACAGTTGTCCCACGGAAGATGCAACCGGGCGGGATAGGAGTTATCCGTGCCACTTATTAAGTTACTGTACGATTCAGACCCACCGTACGAATTTCCTGTTATCACTGTAACAAGTTACCACACATTTAGTGAATGAAAACAACCAATTTATTATGATAGTTCTGGAGGTCAGAACCTAAAATCCAGGAGGGGCAGGGCCAGGCCTTCCCGAGGCTCCAGGGAGAACCGTCTCCGGCCTTTTCCAGCTTCTAGAGGAGCCGTGTCCCTGGCTCGTGGCCCCTTCTCCCTTGTCACAGCCAGCAGCACGGCCTTGTCCATCTCTTTGACTCTGAGCCTCCTGCTTCACTCGCATGAGGACCCTGTGAGGATACTGGGTCCCCCAGGAATTCAGGATCATCCCCATATCGGGCCTTGACCCAATCCCATCTGCAAAGTCCCTGTGCCATGAAAGGTGACACAGTCACAGGTTCCAGAGGTTAGGATGTGAGCACCTTGAGGGGACTGGTATTCTGCTGGCCACACTCACCCTTTCATAGTTTGCTTTGCAACGTGGGGTGGAAATGCTGTGAGACACGTTTCTGCGTTGCCAGTGGCTTCCCAGGTGGCTCTGCTAATGGGAGAGTTGGGGCGAGGATGGAAGGCTGGAGGAGGGAGCGGGGTTTGTTCCGTCCTGGCCTCCCACTCCCTGCGTGTTTGAGACTGGCTTTATTTTCTCTGTTCATGAGTGACATCCCAGCGTGGCCTAAGCATCTTGAATCACTTCTTTCCCTTCTTCTGGCGATGAATGTTCCGTCAAAAATTCAGAGACCAGCCTCATTTTGACCTTAATAAATGAAATGACATGTTCTTTACCAGTCATGCTCCTGGGATAGCTCTCTAGAGGAACACTTGCGGCCAGCAGACGGCGGGTGCTACAGGTTCGTGCCCGGACGTGTGAGGGCCGACTCTATAAACTCCATGCTGACTTTTTGAAGCTTGGCATTCATTCTTAATTCATATGCAAACGAATTGCATATAACCATATTTTATTTTGTAATAGTTTATTTTTAACTCGAAGCTGTTTTATGCGTTAATCCTCCAAACAGCAATTTTTACGAATTCATATAAAACCTTTCTGGAAACCCTAAAACTGACTTTAAAAAATTCTGTCAGTAAATAAAATGACAAGTGATATCAAAGTTTGGATGTCCACTTAATCTTAAACGAGAGGACGTTTTCTAAAAGGAGCAGCATGCTAAATTAGACCCCATCCATTAAGTGTGTTGAGTTTTCAGGTCTATCCCAAATTTATATAAGCTTTCTTGTTGTTTTATATCAGTTAAAGCAGGAATTCAGTTGCCTTAGAGATATCATAGCCCTGTAAAAAAGTAAAACCTTTTTTATATTGTAGTGAAATACACATAAGATAGTTTGCCATCTTAATCATTTTTAAGTGTACAGTTAAGTGGTATTAGGTACAGTTTGAGATATCAGAGACTTTTCATTTTCAGAATCCTCCGGGGACAGACTAAAAACCTGACCCGATAGATTGCCTTGCTGTGTAATGCCCACTGAGAATTCTAGTAGCTCACGAGTGAAGCTGAGCTGGGAGCAGTCCCGCGCAGGCGGGGCGAAGGGCCGACTTCCTGCAGAGGCCAAGGGGCTGCTGACTTCAAGCCCTAGGATCAACGGGATGGAGGGCAGACCTCCCGGTCGCAAAGGTCTCACGTCGGAACCGAGGCGGACCCTGCCATGCACCTGGAGACATCACTGGCGAGTGTCTGTGTTCTTAAACGAAGAGCACAGATCAACCGTGACTTCGTTCCGGGCTGACCCCTGACCCCGGAGGTCACGAGACCCTCCTGTCCGGCCCGGCAGGGCACGGAGGGCGCTCTGCGGTGAAACTGAGCCAGGATTTCCCGGTCCAGGGGAGGACGCGGGCGGGGATGCTGAGCTGCAGACATACGTCCTTCTGCTCGGCTAGGGCGGGCTCTGCTTGGAGCCAATGTTCTGGGCGGGGTCAGCCCCGAGTGTCCCGACAGCCTGTCATTCAGGATGCATGGGGCGGGGCTCGGCAGAACTGTCCAATCAAGGAGGCGGGGGCAGAGCGTGGGGAACAATCATGATCGTTGTCCAATCAGGGGTGCCAGGGGCGGGTCTCGGGAAACCGTCCAGTCAGGTGCCCCCGGACGTGGGAGAGCCCGAAACACCGTCCAATCAAGATGCCGGAGTTCCGAGCACTGTCCAATCAGAGGTCCCGTGGATGGGCGTGAGCGCTGACGTCGCTCTCTGAGGCCACGGCGTTTGTGCGCACCTGCCCCGCGCAGCCCCAGGTGTTGCGTTTTGGTCCGAGGCCGCGGGGACTCCGGCGAGAACCCGGAGCGGGGCCGCGAGATGGTGAGTACGCGGGATCGGAGCCGGGACCGGGAGAGGCCGGTTCGAGCTGAACAGAACCGGCCGAAGGAGGCTGGGGGCCGGGTCTCCCATGTTCCCCAGGTCCCCACCCCAGTGTCCGCCGCGAGCCGCGGGGTGGGCTCCCGCGCCGGGTTCGGGGTCTAAGGACGGCCCGGGTGATCCGGCCGCGCACAGCGGCACCCGCCTGGGATCGGGGGTCGGGAGATGCCAGCCCCTGGTCGGCTCCTCCCAGCTCACAGGCTGCGGGGGGCGGGGGCAGCGGGAAGACCTGCACGGGGCCCGGGCTGGAGGGATCGGTGCCCGGTCCCTAACTGAGCCCGACCCCTGTTCTCCTTCCCCGGAGGGACACAGTTGTCAGCTGACCGGACGCTGGTTTTGAGGAGAAAAGACAGGAGGGATTCGAGCCCCCCGAAGGGAGAGAAACGAACCCAGAGGACAGGGAAAGCCCACCCGGTGAGCTGGGGCAGCCGCCTGCATAGCCACACGCACTGGAGACTCGCAGCGGGACATCAGCCGGTGTCCTTTGTTCAGCGATCTCGGCAGTGAGCAGTGGGGGAGGGGAAAGCCCACGTGGTAGGATGGCTGCACTTGACCCTTGAGTCGTCTAGGTGTTCCAGTTGGGCACTGCCCCTCCCTGGGTTTGTCACCTCGAAAAGATGTGTTCACTTATTCGACCCTTAGTTTTTCAGCAAATATAAAATACTTTTAATTAATAGAGCAGGAAAGAGCAAATACTTCCTAAGGGGTGTATATTTCGGGAAAAAAAGATGAATTTCATTCCATTTGTTCAAACTTTTTAAATCCCGTCCTGTGTGTAGTAATTTCTCGGGTCTGTTCCTTTGAGTGATAAATGGAATTCTGGGGCTGACACTTGAAAGCCCTGTTGGGGGAGAAAAACGTCAGAGAAACAGAAAAATCTCCCTTCCAACACGGCAGCAGAGAAATGAAGTGTGGGAGGTAAACTGGTGAATTATAAAGATTTTCCAGACGACCAGTTCTTTTCCCTGGTGTGGCGGAGAGCTTGTGACAGTAGGTAAACTGTTGTTTGCTGTTTTCTGTGATACACTTTGCTTTAATCCACAATAGATTGATTATTGTCCACGGGAGAGGCAGAAATATGAGCATCTTTGTTATTTAGATAACAGTTTGTCACTGTCTCATATATCGAAGTGTTTGTCATTTGTGCCACTGCTCTGCACTGGCTGCCCTGTCTGCCCTGTGGCGAATCACAGACAAGGGAGCTTCAGGAGTTGTCCCTTTCGGTGGCTCTAGCTGCCTGTTCCAGCTGCTGGTTCCTCTGCTAATTTTATCACGTCAGGGTTGTGTGGCTTTAAAATCTTTGTTGTGTGTGATGGGCAGGCCCCCACCTTGTTCTTTTGGCTGGTTTTGGAATTCATTCTTCCCGTAAGGTTTGTAAAATTAGTATTTGTCAAGTCCTAAAAAACAAAAAATCTGGTTTGCAGATCTAGTGGGATTTGATGAAGACTTTAGGTCCCTCGTGGGAGGCTTGCATCTTGGTGACACTGAGCTCTCCTTTTCAAGAACATGTGCCATCTTTCCATTTATTTCATTTTATTTTGTTATCCGTAATGCTTAAAATTTTTTCCATTTGGTTCGTTTTTGTAGCCTTTGTTAGACTTGTTTAGTAGTAAAGAAATTTGGTCTTCACCATAGTATGTGTTATCTTTTAAAAATGAATTTTCCAACTTGCTGTTGCTATCAGTTACAAAGCCGATGAAATGTACTTTTATATTGAATCATTATCCTAGGTTCTTGCCCAAAATCTTACTCCGCGATTATCTTTCTGTTCTGTTGGTGTCCTGCACATACGACTGTCAGAGTTAGGCACAAGGATGAGTTTGGTTCCTAGTTCTTGTTCTTGCATGTGTTCTGCTGGTTTTGGATCGGTTCTCCAGGATACCATTGACTAGGAGGGAGGTGCTGAGCGCACATGATCTTTACCTAATCGTTCTGGAGAAAACAGCATCACACCATTTATATGTCCCTTGTTCTGTTTTGAACATTCCGTTGTCACTTTATCGGGTTATGCACATTCCATCTCTGCCCCAATGGTAAGGTGATTGACTGTTGAATATTATCAAATCGTTTTCAGCAACAACGAAGATGACCACGGGTGAAACATATGAGTTGATTTTAGAGTTTTTTATTGTCTGTTATAACATCAGAGTAGGAAAATGCACATGACAGATGTATAGTCGACAGAAAATTCAAAAGTAATCTGCAAAATGAAATTGAGCCTCTCAATGTACAACAGGCTTTCATACTACACTTGAGATGAACCCCTCTCACTCTAATACGTGTAACCAATGTGTTGAATTATATAGACATATGTATATACATTTATAGTTGCATGTAGTTATGCATATATGTATATTATATACATATACAATGCACATTGTATCTGTACATATTTATTTTTAAGCAATTTAGGTATCAATTTGCGATGTTATCTCCAAGGGTTATGTTACCATTCTCCTTTGCTCTGCTTTGCCGCCAGTGGTTCGCATATATCTATAGCGATGCTAATATATCGACATAGAAACACACACGCACACACATACACGTGTAAAGATTTATATCTCCCTTCTAATCCCCTCGCTGTGCCACATTTTCCTTAATGCTCACTTACTGTTTTCCTTTAAAAGAACTTAAGATCCACGTGCTTCAGAACTTTCGTTCGGTGTCATAGCCCTAGCGCCTACAAGTACGAGGACCCTTGTCCTCGTAACCTAAATCAGTGTCACTAAGTGAAAGAGCCAGAGGTAAGGTCTTCAGACAGAGCAGCCTCGCACGGGACCCGGGGCTCTGCAGGGAGGGAGTGTGGATGTGGGCGCGGAATAGCCGCTTCTGCTGGTTCTTCTCTGTGGTGCCGGGTGATGTCCAGCTACCGTCCTGTCACACTGGGAAAACGGTCAGAATGGCAAACCGCTGGAGGGCGTACGGGAAGGTCACGCGGGGCATGGGAGTTTGCCCGAGGTCCTTGGGACTGCCCTGCTTTCTCTGCTGTGAGCCAGTTCGAGGACTGTGTGTTTTGCAGTTTTCGCTCAGATACACGAGCTAATGTGTGTTATATGCAGAAAACTGCGATGAGTTTTTCGCATATAGTGAAAAAATGAATGTCATGAAGCGTTAACGTTATTCGATGGTTTCCAGCCGGCCGTGTTGGGAGTCCCTGTCTTGGCCCGTTCTGGCTGTCGGACAAAATACCATAGACTGCGTGGCTTAGAAATAGTCGATGTTTCTTTCTCACGGTTGTGGATGCTGGAAGCCCAAGATCAGGGTGCTGGAAGATTTGGTGTCTGGTGAGGGCTGGCGTCCCGGCCGCTAGCTGGCTTCGCGTGGCAGATGGGGCAAGGGGACTCTCCGGGCTCCATGTCACAAGGGCGCTCATCCCATCCATGGGACTCTGCCCTCATGACCTCATCACCTCCCGAAGGCTCCACCTCCACGTCCTATCATATTGGGAATTGTACATTTTGGGGGCCCAAACCTTCAGTCTACAGCGGTCCCCAAAGACCACTCCCAGGTTCAGAGACTGATGAAGACCCCCAGGACTCACTGCCGGGACGTGTCGTGGTGCGGGGACAAAGCTGGGTCAGCCCAGGGGCAGTGCCTGGGGCCAAGCCCTGAGGAGACCAGGCACAGGGTCCCTTCCGGTGACACCACACAGCAGCCGGCTACAGCACGTGTGAAGTGCCTGCCCGGGAAGCTAATGAGAAACTCAGTCACAGAGTTTTGTTGGGGGCTGGTGACGTAGGCACTTCCTGCCTGGCCTGAGCGAAGACGTCAGCCCCCTGGAGGGAAGCAGGTCTTGGGCCGAAGCCCTGTTTGCAGAAAGAGCTGAGGGATTGCTCCCATCGGGTGGTGGGAACTCCCCACGTCCAAGTTCCCCAACTTCGGCCAAGGGCCTGCCTTGCGAGCAGGACTCTAAGGATGAGGGCTGTTGGGCCTGCTGGCCGCCACTTCCGCACAGTCTGTCCCCCTGGCTCTCAGCCAGGATGTCGTCACGGCAGGATGAGCAGCAGGACCCTGTGCAGGAGGCTGGGAGCCAGCTGCAGTGTCGCTTGTGCCTCTGCAGGGAGGGGTGCTGGACTTAGCCAGTGCACAGACATCCCGCCCACCCAAAGGTCTTAGAAAGCCAGTAAAGCGGAGTGGGGTTGGGGCGGGGGGGGTCGGGTTCTTCCTCAAATTTCTGTATTCTTGATTTTCTTTCCATTCTCTCTCTCTGTCTCTCTGTCTCTCTGTCTCTCTGTCTCTCTGTCTCTCTCTCTCTCTCTCTCTCTCTCTTTCTTTCTCTCTCTCTTAACGTGGCCTCAGTTCCCACTCAGCATACCTCTGGCCAGTCAATTGAAGCTGACCTGAGTGTCTGCCATGGATAAGACAGCGAGTGCCCTGATTGGTCACACATCTGAGACGTATAGTCCTAGAGGGCACACTCGGCCCCCCTTAACGCAGAGTTGACAGTTATCTGCCCCCGCCCCCCAGAAGGACCATTAGCCAGGCAGCGAGGTCTACAGGGCCCTGCAGTGGCTTCAGCTCTCAGTGCAGACCTAATAATTCAGTCGGGTCCACATCACTCCACAGGGCCTGCCCAAGGCGCTCAGTTTCAGACAGGTCTTTTTGTCCACCTCACCAGTGCGGGGGACACCTGCAGGTGATCTTCCTGGAAGGGAATAGCTGTGAGATGAGCAGCTGGTTTTCAGATGGTCCCATCGGAGCACAAGGCCTTCGTCATGGGCAACCGAAGAGACCCCGCTGGACCCGCCGGCATCCGCGGGGCTTTCGGTTTGGGGCTCCCCAGAGAGTTGTTCCACACCTGCCACATTCCCAGTTGTCCTGTTTGTAGAGTTCACACCTGCTTTCCGGCTGCCACAGCGCTCCCCGAGGCTGAAACAGCCCATCGTGGGCTCCGTCGGGTTTCAGCTCACGGTCAAGTCTGAGAAGTACAAACACAAGCTGCGTGAATTCAGAATCCGCCAAGTGCTAGGGCCTTTTCCCCGCAGCGGCAGAGACAGCGCAGGGGCAGACGGCGGTGTCCGTCCCAAGTGCAAGTAGCTAGTAGGACTGCCCTAAACCCTTTTGTCTTGTCCATCTGAGAGTCCAAATTGACACACTGCCAGACAGGCGTCGGCCTCTACAGGACATCAGAAATAGGTCTTTCTCAGAGCTCTGTACGAACTGGAAACTTCTGCCTACGATTCCAGAAGGCCACCTCCCGTTTGGATCACCTGTCTTTTCTTTTTGGTTTTTTGTCCTTTTGCACCTCCAGAGGTAAAAGTCAGAGTAAAAAGTCATCAGTTAGGGACCTAATCTTGTTTCTAATAATTAGAGTTTAAATTAGGACCCATGCGCCGGTGGCAGAAGGCAAGGAGCTTGTGTCTCACCGACCCTCGCTCACCTTCGTGCAGCGTGGGGTGTACCCACTAGCATCGATAAAGTATGACGATCTGCTGTCCGCATCAGTTTTTGTCACACGTGCAGATGCGGTAGACACAAAGCAAAGTCGTTTTAAATGAAAATCTCCCTCTTTTTTCTCATCGCAAATTCACTCAAGACACCGTTAGTTTCCTCAGGCTCCCGTAACTTACTGCCGATCCGTGGGGCCTTAAACATTGTTCTGTCACAGTTCTGGAGGCCAGAAGTCTGAAATCGTGGCGTCGGCGATTCCTTGTCCGTCACAGCCTCTGGTGGCCCCGGGTGGTCCTCGCACGAGGCAGCACAGTTCCTGTCTCTGCGTCCATCTTCACGTGGCCGTCATCCCTGCATGTCCGTCTTAACAAGGCGTTTTGCCTTCTTATAAGGGCGCCAGTCATTTTGGAATCGGGCCCATTGTAATGGCTTCATCGTAACTTGATGACACCTGCAGAGATCATATTTCCAAGTGATGTCGCGTTCAGAGGTGCCAGGGTTAGGACTTCCACCCGTCTCTCTCAGGTGGATTAAGCATTTCCCAGGATGG